GCTGTTGAACAGTCAATTAAATTATCTTAGCTTTCCACTGCGCTAGGCCAACAAAAAGTTTAGTTTCTTGCAATGATATCCTGTTACTTAGGAGTTTTTTAAAGTTAAATGTAATCAAAGGAAAAAGTGCTTCTTGCGTGTAATTGTTATAAATACTTCTAAGGATTCATCCAAGGACTCTTTGAAACACACATTAAGGATGTTCCAATGTAGAATTAAAATAGACATTATTGTCGGCCAACACTGCGAAAATCATTGAGCAATAGCCAACAACAACTAACCTTTTGTAGCATAGTTTTGGGAGAAATATTTCTTAGATTTTTTAGCAGCATAGTTTCAGAATAGTATGAAGGCTTGAGTTAAACTGTTTTTACTTTTGCTATAATTAACCAATTTCACATATTGCTTTTTTTAATGATTGAACATTCCTAATGTACTCGCACATTCTTTCATACTTCTTTTCTATCGCATGCATTCGAACACCTGAGCGTGTTGCATCATTTCCATTGAAGCTGGAAGGAAAATTTCGCATCACGTTTTCAAACTGTGTGTCAGGAGGGCGAGCTGAGACTTGAACTTGTCGATTGCCATATAAAGTATACGCATGACTTGATAACTTGACGGTTCAATACACTCACCATCCACCCATGTAATGTAGTTCATACCTAAATTGCATTAAATACGTTGTTTATGTACAACAATTTTTTAAGGAGTAGAGCGCCTTCTTTGACTTAAATTTTCATTAAAATATTTACATTTTAGATTTCAGTCATTTCCGTCAGAGAAGCAGAAGTGACAGCAAAACGAAATATGTGCGCATATGTAAGTACTTACCTGAAAATGACTAAGAAAGAAAAGCAATAAAGAGATTTATTTTATTAAAGCAACACCTTTCCAAAAGTTGTAGTCGACACCTCTTAATTTTAAGTAATTTTTATTAATTTCATTTCATTTAATTCAATTGAATATAATATTTAATTTGACAATTTTATTTAAATTATTTAAAAAAAAATTAGTTTTAGCTATCATTAACTTTATTTTAATTAGATTTAATCATTACTTAAATTATATTGCTTAATTTATTTTAATCTCTATTTCATTTATTTTATTTAACTTTTGCAATGTTACTTTATTTAATTTCTTTTTTAAATCAAAATTTAATTTAAATTGAAAATGGAGGTTAAATTAAATTAAGCAATATATAAAATAAATGTAAATATATTTAATTTAAATATTAATTTAATTTTGCTTAATCTTTTAATTTTGTTTACTAATTTTTTTAATTACACTTACTTTATTCTGATTGTTTTAATTTGATTTTATATTCTTTTGTTTTATTTAATTTAATTTTTATTTATTTGGTTAGACTTGATTTAATTTTTATAAATTTTTGTATTATATTTTTTATTTTTATATAATTCAATTTAATTTTCTTCTTATTTTATTTTATTCGATTTTTTATTTAATTTAATTTAATTTAATTTTTTTTTAACTTTATTATCCTCTGTTTAATTGAATCATTTTTTTTTTTAAATGTACGCTTTAATTTTCAATATATACCCAAACACAACAAGAAAATGAGAAACTTTTCACAATACGGTACTTTATTATCCAGAAAAACGTAGCGAAAACCGTGCGATGCTTCTTTTGTGGCGAACAAGAAATGACAAGGGGCAAGTTGTTATCAATAACAAAGTGTCAACTTAATAGACTACGGAACACTATGATGGGCAAATGTGTGCAGAGCTGTGTTAGTGTTTGCGCTCAAAAACCTACACAAGAGAAACACAAAAGCTTTTGAAAGCTCTACTTAAAAGTTTTAATCAGCTATAGTCGGCTTTGTTGATGTGCTGGAGAAAAATGAAGAGGTCGACACATATACACGCAAGTAAGTTTCTTTCAAAGCAATGTAATAACTATATTAGTACGCCTAAAGGTATGCAACGATAATGGCATAACATTTAACTAAGTTTATAATTGGCATCTGCACTGCCTACAAAAAAGAACATGCAATGCTTCGGCATAAACGTCGATTGTGATGCATTTAAGTTCCATTTAAATTGCAACAACAAAAGTACTGTTGCAACAAGCGTGTGCAGCTTTTAAGAAAAAAAAGCAAAGTTATTTTGGCAATTGCTATGGCAGGCAGCTGCAACTTTTGTGTGGCTGCTTGTAAAATGATGATGCTAATGGTAAGTAAAGGCTTCCGGATGTAATTTTTCGTTTGGCTTTTTTGAACATTTCACTTTTATTGATATAGCGATTTTTAATTTTTTTTATAATTGATAATATGCAAATTATCGGTTTTTTTTCGAAGGACATCACGAAAAGTATGTCATCAAATTATTATATTTTATATTATTTAATTAATATTTTTTTAATATTTTTCTTTTAATTTTGATTTTCCTACATCCCCACCGAATTTTCCAATGCAAATTTTGACATTTCCTTAATCATTCGCTGTAAGCCCTAAGCTGGCAGGCAGTAAATCCCTCACTTGCCACACTCTATTGTCAGCTGACAAATCGTACAAAAGCGTTAAAACGCTGATCAAAGCGGCGGCGCAACGAGCATCCATGCCACTTTGCAATTCTAAATCATGCTAAACATTGCCCAAGTTTGGTACCGCCAATCGTGCCTTTTTGTGGCAGCCACAACAGCAGCAGTCTGTGCACCAACACACATGCACTACTGCATACATGTTCATGTATATGTAAAAATGTTTATTTATTCCCGATATTTGTTGTCAAATGGCTTAGAATGAAATAGCGCAGGTTGACATGCCTCGTGATGCTTCTAAACAAGCGATCAACCGCGACCGCGACCGCGACCGAAGCCGCAGCCACATTGAATTGTTTGTTGCATGAGTACGTGGCAGCTACATAAAAGCTGATATCTGTTGCGCAAACATGCGATTTGCCTTGCCTAAGAACTTAGTAGTCAAATGAAATTCAAATTGTATGCAACAATGCGCCGTGCTGTGAATAGCAGGCTGGTGGCTGATGGTTGTTGCAAGTTTTGGTCAATTCGTTGCAGGCTGTCAGCAAGAGGCACATGGTTTGTTGCTTAGGTTAGTTTTACATTGCAGATACTGAAGTTGAAGGAAAGTTGCATCTGATATTTACTTATGAACCCTTTTGAGATATTGAGGCCACGCTAATCTGTTCTTTCTCATTTGGATATTTCTATTCGATAGCTTGCTCCGATAATGACCTTTTCTTTGGAAAATCTTTCACAAGCCATAGGTGCAAATAAAAAGGTAATGTGTGTGAACTCAATAAACAATGTTGGTCCCGTGTGACATCGCAATTCGAAATTCAAAAAATTCATAAAAATGTCCCGTGCGATAGTGATTAGAAAATTTGGATGAGTGCATAAGTTCGTGCCCGATTCCGCAGGATGCCGTTCGAATCGTTTGAGAGTGGTGGTCGTGAAAGAAATATATACATATTATATATCGTTGGAAAGGTGACAGTCCGAACTGTAAATCAAGCATAAAATAACTTCATTTTGATTTGAGTTGCTTAGTGAAAAGACGCATGCAAGATGGACAACGAAAAAGATCATATGCGTCATATTATGTTATACGAATTCCGCAAAGGAAAAACAGTAGGCGCTGCAACTGAAGATATTCGCGAAGTTTATTTGGACCGTGCTCCAGCACTCCGCATAGTAAAGAAATGGTTAGCGAAATTTCGTTCTGGACATTTTAACCTCGAAGATCAACCTCGCAGTGGACGGCCTTCTGAGCTTGATGACGATGTTCTAAGGACTTTAGTTGTGAATAACTCACGTATTTCGACGAAAGAGGTTGCCAGTGAATTGAACGTCAACAAATCAACTGCGTTTCGTAGTTTAAAAAAGGTTGGGTACACTTTGAAACTCGATACATGGGTGCCACATCAGTTGAGTGAAAAAACAAAGTGGACCATATGTCAATAGTAATTTCCTTGCTTCGACGGATCAAAAACGACCCTTTTTTGGATCGGCTCGTGACTGGTGATGAAAAATGGATCCTGTACAACAATGTTCAACGCAAAAGAACATGGAAACAGGCACACGAAGGGGCGGAACCGATGTCGAAAGGTGGATTGCATCCGATGTAGGTACTGCTTTGCATTTGGTGGGATATCCGAGGCGTGATCTATTTTGAGCTCTTGCCAGCTGGAGAAACGATCACTGCCAACAAGTATTGTCAGCAATTGGTCGAATTGAAGAAAGCAATTAATGAAAAACGTCCGATTTTGGCCAATCGTAAAGGAGTTCTTTTCCATCATGACAACGCCAGGTCACATGTTGCAAAACCGACCCTGGCCAAACTGAAGGAGATGAATTGGGAAATCATGCCGCATCCCCCATATTCACCCGACATTGCACCTTCTGATTATCATTTGTTTCGATCGCTGCAGAACAATTTGAATGGAAAAAAATTTAAAAATGTGGAAGACGTCAAAAACCACCTTGACACTTTTTTCAACGAGAAATCGCGCGATTTCTATGAATCAGGCATCCGTAAATTGGTTGAACGTTGGGAGTGGATTGCCGAACATCTTCAAAAAATTTCAATTTTAGTTTGCACTTGAAATCGGGCACGAACTTATGCACTCATCCATATTTAAGGACAAAAGTATAAAGCGTTCACAAAATAATTGTAGTTATCTTACGAGTACACGGGAAGGAACTTAAAGGCAAATTCTGTAGATTGAAGATTATTATTTAGTTTAATTGTTACTCTGAACCTTGACGGAAAATTTTTCAAGAAAAATGCAATAGTCTTAATATTTCACGACATAACAAAAAAATTTAAGCACAAATTTTCAAACACATACATACACATATCGGAATCTAAAGTTCCAAAAGAGTTGAGTGTTGTGCAGTCATTTCTAGTATTAGTAGTTTCTGTATGTAAGTGTGTGTTAATGTCCGAATTTCAGTTTTAACAGTCTCTTCTTTCGCAAGCGTTTTGAGTACTACAAGAATTTAATTTATTTGTGACTTACATCGATCCTTGAGTCGAGGCGGTGTTGGCGGTTGTATGTGCTTCAGTGTTTGTCCCTTACGTATCGAGTCCATGAGTTGTTCACGTGGCGATGGTGTACGTTTAATGGGTGGCGGTAGTTTACGTTCGGACGCCTGAAAGTACAGTGAAAATCAGAGAAAGGCATAGAATGACTAGAATGCAGTGTAAAGTTATGGATTACTGAGTATTCTAAAAATATAACGCTATTCTAAAGAACCGACCGCAGCCGCTAGAGATGGAGGATTGTGGGCAAAACAAAAATATTAGAGGTTTATTTTTAGTAATTTTAATTTAAAAAAATTAAGAGCGATAACCAAACTTTCAAACCATTAAAATAAAAAAAATAATCCGCGGCGCATGCTAAGCGTTGAGGCAATTTCACTCGAGTTAAAAAAAATCTTATTTACAATACTTTGGTATTAAGTACACAGCTGCATCAAAAACAAACTTTTAGCTTAGTAGTAGCTAAGAAAGGCTTCCATTGGTGGTGTTGTTGTATTATCTATCTTCTACTTTTACTACTGTTTGAGCAAATGCCATTATATGCAATTACCACAGGAAAGTGCAATGAAAATTGCCCATTTAACACTTTTCACAAAAATCAACAAAACAATGGTAAGACAAAAACAAGAAAAACAAAATATCAGCAAGCCAAAAAAGAAACAAAGGAAAAACCAATAAATGTTCAAAAAACCACAATTGTGCCAAAAATGAGCAGTGAAAATGTGTGTAGTTCAAGAGAAAAAGTGCAGCAAATGTTTGTGAGGATTCAAGAGAAATGGGATCTCACATACATACAAATATTCATACATATATATATAGATACTTATACTAACATATACAATACGAACATAGATATTCCGTTAGTTGCACATACCTTTTTAAGTGGCGGCCGTGACCTGATGAACTCCAATATTAAAGCGTGGGCATCTTTCTTCACGCGCGGCGGAATATCACCATTCACCATTACTTTGCGCAGTTGGTACTTTCTACGGATCGATGAAGTACAAGCAAACATATTTATTTATAATAAGAAAAAGTGCCAACAAATGCTTAAAGACTGCCTTACAAGGCTGCCAATGAAAGTAAGTAGAAATAAAAATAATAAATAAATAAATAAATAAATAAACCGAAAGTGCTGGCGGAGCGCAGAAATATGAAAGCCTCTTTCGCTGGGGGTCATTAATAACTTTGCCCTATGCCAATTAGAATGTGGGAGAGGTGCAAGTGACCGTCCATGGTCTCGAAAGAAATTATAAAATAACAACAACTTCAAAAAAAAAACATGAAAATATGATACAAAAATATTTTCTATTTGCTTCGACTCTCCAGTAGAATGTAAAAACCCATTGAGCACTACTCTTTTCAATTGGATTTTAGAAAGGGTCAATTTCAATTTAAACAAATCCAAAGTGAACTTGATAATAATAATAGCGATTTGAAAAAGCATAAATAAGATTTTCTCGTAAGTGAAAAGATTTTGGATTGCTTTGGAAAAATCAATAGGTTTTGTAGAAAGCGCATGTAGCTTGCAGAAATTTTAATAAAAGTTTCAAACTTTATGTTGGTTTTCCAATTAACTACGCTTTGTTGTGATTTTTTTTAGCTTGTTGTGTAAAAATTAATAAAGTTGACCAATTTACTCTTTCTATTGACAACTAGTTGTTCGCACTCACTTCGATCTTATGTCCTCCATGAGTATCTCGTAGGGCGTCAACTCGTACTCAATGGGTGTGCGTGAGTAATTATTTTTCTTCAGACGAACACCACGACGCAGTTCATCGATAACTTGGACCCAAAAGCGTGCCTGAAAGTGGAAAAAATTATAATTCAATAAGAATGCAGAATAAAATTGTACTAAGCAAAATTGAAAAATAAAATTTATAAAAATAAGTAGAGAATTTTAAACGAACAAATGTGCATACGGAAGAGGAAGACCACATATTTTTGGTGTGGATAATTCTTTTTCTCCGAGTGAAGTTTAATAAACAAATTTTCATAAGAATCCAATTGTATGGGATTATGCATTTCGCGGTTTCAAAAGTACAGCGATGTATTTTGACATAACTGTCAATCAAAACATGTTTTTCCTTAGCTGAAAGTGAGGCATTTATAAAAATGTATCTTTTAAGAACCGCGAAGGGAATGTTTCTCATTCAACGCTCCGAGAATCCTCAAATAAATGAAGAGAGGCCATTGCACCCAAAAAAATTTACTATTTGATCCGGGGTATGATTGGATCTACTTCTTTGTAAGCGACAAGGGCGAGACTGACACTTTTTATACGGAGCCTTGTGAAAGTATGACAACCCTTTTTTTGGTTTCATCAAGACGGTGTCTTGGCTATGTTAATTGGCCACCGAAATCGCGCTATTTGACATCTCTTGAGCACTTGGCTGAGATACAGTCCAATATGTCTCGAAAAGTGGTTCGCGAGGCGGTCCCATATAAGGCCAAGATTCAAGCTTTATAATAAAAACGGAATTTCTAAAAATAAATTATTTTAAATGCATTTTATCTCGACTTTGGATTTATTTTCGAAACCGCAAAATGGATAACCCTTTAGACCTAAAAATGATATCGATAATTATTTACATTACACTTTGAGCTTTTTAGTTTTGAGCTCTTTGTTTAAATTTTGATATACGAGTATATTTTGCGGCGCGGCTTTTTGAAATAACGAGAAAAAATTGTGACAATAGGCTGAATAGGATTTTAAAAATAAACCAGAAATTAGCATGCATTAAAATCTATAAAACTGAAACAATGAATGAATCCTAATTTTTGAGGGCAACGCTATTTTATTAAGTGAGCTTTTCGTGATAATTACAATTATTGATTTCTCGGCATGCAAAATATTTTGTATCTTTTGGATTTAATAGTTTAATTATCAAGAGAAAATTAAAAAAGTCTCTTAAATATTTTTAACATATTTTGGAATTAAAAGAAAATAACAGTACTTAAAGCACATACTTGCAGGGCCCTCCAAATTTCCAGTTCATGCTTTAGTTTTGGGCAAGGTGTACAAAAATTAAGAACAAGTTAATAGGAATATTATCATAAAAAAGTGAGTTATTTTTATAATTTTTAATTTTTGTTTGCACGGAAGTAAGCTAAATATGTTTAATTACTTTTTTTTGCCGTCTATCAAAATATTCAAAGAAAATTTAAGACAGAAAAATTTCAATTCAATTCATTTCTTATTCCTAAAGAGAAGCTGTGTCACTGACGTATATTAAATATATTTTTCCTCACGGAATGTAAACTGCTTGTCACGATGAGCAAAGCTTGTTGTTGTAGCAAGTTGAAATACAACGATAACATTTCCCACTGAAATTCTTATGCCAGCGGCTGTGCGTTGGCAATACAGTTAAAATTGCTTGCGAAAAAATAAAATAGAAATAATCGATTAAATGCTGTAGACACTCTTATAAACGTTGATTGCGTGAAATTTGTAGAAATGTTCAAAAAGAAACACAATAATTGCATAATTTTGCACTTGCAGCAATCATTACTCTTCCGAGTCGCAGCGTACGCGACGGACAGACAGGCATAAAAGCACAGTAGCGAGCAGTTGCCGATTGCCAGCTTTTGCTTTTTTGCTTTTTTTTGCTTTATTTAATTCTTTTTTCTTATCTTTGCCATTGAAATTTAAGAAATCGCGGCAGCAGCTGCAGCTGCAAAGGCAACAGTCGAATAAATGAAATTGAAATAGCCACATTAATTAACGTCACACACACGTAGGCACACACACATACACGTATACTATACACGGGAACGCACGGCACACGCCCACTTTTTACGCGGCGATGTGCCATAAGTCGCGCACCGCAGCGACACAGTCGATGCAATTGCGATCACAGCGTTGCAAAATGTCAAGCAGCAACAGCAACAACAACAGCAGCAATAATGGGCACAGCATTGCTTTGACATTTCGACTTTCACTTGCAACACGCTGATTATTGCTGTGCCGACTGCTGCTGGCTGGTGGCTGCTGCAAGTGCGATCAATGTCGATGCGGCGGCTGACATGCATGCTGTTGTTGCCGTTTCGTTTGTTGTTATTTTTTTTTGTGTTTTATGATGGTTGCCGTTGGCATTGTTTACATTGCACGCAGATCCTTTCATTGGCGATAAATTTATAAAAAATTATTCGGCGTTGCATTTTTCACTTTTGCTTAGTTGTTTATTCACTTCTCCGCTTTTTTTTCGTTTTTAGCGCTGCAGGGACCTAAAATATTGCATTGTTTTGGCGTATTTTGGCTGTGAGCGAGAGTTCAAAATTTATTTGCGCAATTTTTCCGACTCTCGCAGTTGCTTGCAATTAATAATAAGTTGCCACAAACATGTGGTCTCGCGTCGTGGATTGGTTTTTGTTATTTATTAATGATTTCATATTTTGTTGTAGGCGACAAGTAAACAACAACAATTTTTATGGTCAGAAATGGATAAACAGTTATTTTGAAGTACTCAAAAAAGACTGAGAAAGGATTTTTTTTACAGCGCAAATGGAGATTAGCTCAAGATAGCTTCCATTACTCGGTAATTAATAACGTCTATATATTTTGGTGGAATTTTAGGCATTTTCTTCGACTCGCTGTCTGAAAACTCTGATTTTGAAGCCCTCATATTATCGCTAGAAGATCAGCTCAACCCAATTTTACAATAGAGATGTAGATATTCGTAAGTGTTTTGCTTCTCAGAAATGTTTTACAATGAAGTTTTGCAAACAAATTACGAGTATTTCAAGTTTAAAACTCATGAAATGACGCTTACGATTCTAGAGATTTCCGACAGATTGTTTTTAGAGCTTCTTGAACATTTTCTTTACACTACGTCAATAGGCTCATCGTGATACCGCTGTGAGGCTCCTATCGACACCTTCTCAAATGTTCGAACCATTTCGTGTGCCTCATAACAACAACGAGATTACCAATTTTTGTTAAAGCTGGCTGAGTCAAAGAAATGTGCCCTGAGTCCAGGCACCCAGACCTCGATTGCAGAGATCTGCTTTAAATGCTAATATTTGTTAAGAGCATCGATGAATGGATTTCACTGTCCAAATTTACATGGAGTTGTGAGGCGTCTGTAAAAATAGCCATAGCACCCTGCGGAGGATGTCAGTGTTTTTCTTTCGTTCTTTTTTGAGCTTCTTTTGGAAAAGAGGTTGTAGGAGCGCTTCTTCGGCATTTCTACCAGCCAAATGAGAGAGTTTTCAGCCTACCTTATACTGCAATACCCCCAAAGCTGAGCTGCGTTTAAGCTGATTGCCTTATGTCTCGCATGTAACAGGTCCAGAGGAAAAAAGTTGAGGAGAGTTAGCAGTCCCCATCAGAGGAAGTCGGATTGTCATTTGACCAGTTCCATATTATACTTAGTGATCTCGATATCTCAGAACCGACCAGTTTTAGTATTAGTATTAGACACTAAATCAACAATTTTTTAATGCCACCAATTTCTCTATTAATCTTTTGTTAAAAGAATGCACTTTTGGATTGCTGATAATCCAAACTGTCGAAATTGTGTTTAGCGGTGATCCTTGAATCTCATTCGGGACATCATATAAAGGAGCAGTGCACATTCATTCCATTCCAATCTTAAAAGTAGACTTTATTTGAATTACCGTCATTTAGATTTGAGAAATATCAAGTGGGGTGATGGATCTCGAGTTGAATTTTAATCAAGGGATCTTTATTGGTGTCCCAGAAAAATTCTTCTCTTTATAAAAGCAAGAACCTGCTGAAGCTTTGAGTTCTCTAAAAAAAAAATATATATCATTCCATTATTGTATAACTTCGCCATTTACATTTAAAATTATCATGCAAACGCAAATTTTTATTCAGAGCGAATACCGAAATTAAGACACTTAAATCACTAAACCAAACGAGTATATTCGTTGCTCGCACCAATAAATCTCGTCATTATCTGGATGACCTTAAAATTAAGCTTACATTGTATATATTTTCCAACACTTCACTTATGCCCCTCCGCCGCATGTCAAGCCAATTAAATGAATATACACGGTTGCACAAAAATGCATTTCAATTATGCGATTTGTCATCGCCGCTGTCAAAGGCGAAACAATCGCTTTAATTTTCACCCTTTCGACTCGCTGGTTGGCTGGCTTGTGGCGGACTCGCTAATAAGTGACAGGTGTTTATTTATGTTTATGATCAACGCTTTCTGGTTCGCTGCCACCATGGCGAGAGGTAGCGGAGAAGAGCGAGCAGAGGCTGTTGACAACGAGTAGTACGTGCGCGACCGGTTTCCAATTTTCCTGACGTCCTTATTACAATATATTCGTGTGTTTTATTTTTTTGTGTTTTTGTTGTTTGTTATTCAAATTAATTTTAACTGCATATGATCAATGTGATTTGCATAATTCTTATGTAACAATAAACTAAAGACCAAAAATAATATAAATTGAATTCGTTGGTGGCAGCGCTCAACAGCCAACTTAACGACTGACGAGACGTAAGAGTGCGTGTAAGCCAATGTGGACACTGATCGCGTAGGTGTTTGATGTTGTATTTTGTAACGGCATTCTTTTGAGCGACATTTGTGTCACTTTGTCGGAGCATGTATTACCAATACGTGAATTTTAAGTGTCGAAATGTTAATTGGCCACACTCGGTGGGTCACCGAATACCAGATACTGTACATACGAGTATTTGTTATTTTGAGGTTAGGAATTGATATTGAATTGACTTTCAAAACTAATACCTTTCTCAATAAATACATGTGTGCAAATGTATATACACATGTACATATGTAAATACAATAATGATATCAAATGAAAGAGATGCTT